AATTAACCTAAAACTTGCCAATGTTTTGACTAACTGTTTTGCTCATAAGTGCCTTTAGAACCTCATTCCTTTCTTGTGGGTTCTATTTCATTCTTACCTCAGAGCATCCTCTAGTAAGCACATCATAACAAAAGGAAGTCTTGCATGGAGAATAAGCTAGTTTAAACAGCACCATCCCACAATCCATCACTACTATATTCTGTTTCTTTGCTAGAAAATCAAAAACAGAAAAAAGCCCCAGATGGAGTATGACTTTAAAAAAATTTCATTCACCTATTTTCCACTTCTGGTCAGCAATAGTCTTAACTAATCTTGAAGTAGACTCAGACAAACACATCTCTATAAAGCCTATTTTTCTATACCCCTGTGACAAGTTGGTTAAGAAGAGTCTCTGAACAGATCAAATGGCAGCGTTAAGCTATGCTACCATAGATCCCTATCTTAGCCCCACCCCCCTTCGTTAAATTTTCAATGGAAGCCAATATCATGTATTAAAAAAATAAATTGTTCTACGTAGATGGCATGCTTTCAGAAATTTAATATTTATTCTACCAAAATGTTTTCAGTAAATACTTTATTTATTTTTTAGAATTTAACTTTTATTTGTTTTTATGTGGTACTGAGGATGGAACTCAGTGCTTCACATATGTCAAACAAGTGCTCTACCACTGAGTTATAACCCAGCCTTCAGCAGATATTCTTTAGAATTTATAAGTTAATATTAGGGGCTGGGGCTGTAGCTCAGTAGTCCAGCACTTGTCTGGCATGTGTGAAGCATTGGGTTCAATCCTCAGCACCACATTAAAAAAATAAAATAAAGGTATTGTGTCCGTCTACAAATAAATGAATAAACATTAAAATGATCCCATGGGCTGGGGACGTGGCTCAGTGGTAGGTGCTTGTTGGGCATGCACAAGGTCTTGGGTTCCATCCCCAGCACTACAAAAAAAAAAAAAAAAAAAAAAAAAAAAATTAAAAATAAACCAAAATAGTTCCATGTAACAAAGAATTTAAGGTTACCTGGAAGTACATTTAGCAGTTAATACTGCTATTAGTCATGGAAAAAAGTCAGGGCTGCCAAAAATCAGATGCTACACAAAAGATATGTGATCCAAATAGAAATAAACAATGCCATGTGGACTCCTTGGGTTTCAACAGTATGCCTGAGTAGTTCCAAAGCTGTGATATGGGGACTGAAAAAAATTTGCTCACTTCCCACCTGGCTCTTATTCCAGAAAAGACATTCATATAATAGAATGTCAACTTTGCTTGCTGCTTATTCATCTAGCATCTGAACCAGCTGGGCTTCTTTGGCCAGCATGACAATAAGCAGCTATACAATTTTGCAGAAAATGTATCCAGCTGCTATTCTATTCAGAGCCTGGAGTAATATAGAATAAAAATGTTTTCTAGCCTTTTTCCTCAGAGATCTTCAACACAAAGACTATCACATTAGAATACCAGAAGTCTAGTCTTTGTTTGCTTATAACTCTATAGAACTGTCTTTACTTATTTAGTTCCCTTTAATTCTGGACCCTCAGCTTTGACAGTTAACTGAAGCAGTCATATGAAAACTTTTTGCAATTGCTGTAAAATTCTCAGTGAAGAGCTCCAATGTTTCATAACATCTGTTATTTTCAAACTTACAAAAAAAAAAACTTCCTATAGTTTAATATTTTAGGGCCTCTAATTTTGAAAAATCCAATCACATATTTTATTAAAAGCTAACGTCCTAATAATTTGATTTCTGGAAACCTAATCTAAGTAAGTTACCACACATGAAAAAAAAAATTATACACAAGGCCAATTTCAAACTATTCACAATTGGAAATAAACTAGAAGTAACATTAATGTCCAAGGACAAGAGGAATGTTTACGTAAAATGTGGCAAATGATCCAGATGAACTGTTATGCAATCACTGAAGAGCACTGAAAGGCATTGTAAAATTTTTTTGTAACAATGAAAGCATTGTGTGTGTGTAGAGGTGGTCCTGGTAAGTCATAGGCTTTCATTAATGCCATATACCTTTCCTTTGTTACACTTGTCAGTTATCTGTGTAACCATTTAATTCATGTTTGTCTCCCCTTCTGGTCTACAAGTTGCACAGGGCAGGGTCTCTTTGTTTTGTGCACTACTTAATATATACTCCTAATAGTAAAGGGAATGAAGGTGATAGAGGGAAAGAAGAAAGAGGGACAGAAAAGTGAAGACAAACATGATTTACAAGAAACACTATGGACCCAGGTCACAGCACACTATCAGATAGGAGACTAAATTCTCCTGGTGTCCATGTGGTAAACAGAGAGGCCAACAGGGCATAGGGACCAGAAGCAGGACCCTGCCAGTTTGCATCTCAGGCAACAAACTGGGGTTGACATCCTAGGCAAGGCAGAACTCTCCAACCAGACCAGCTATAGTACCTAAAGTACCCTAAAGGGGAAATATAAAACCAGGAACATGGTTATTAATGCTTGTGTGACCAGATGACTATTCTTATGGACATCTGAGAAACATTAAGATTAAAGTTAAAGAAAGATGACTAAAATGCTAATAAATTTAATGGTTGTGACTTTGTCCTCTAATATTTACAATTAATTACTTTTATAATTAAAAAAGGTAGGGAAAAGTATGTCTCATTTGAAAAAATTGCTATTTTATTCTATGAGATGCTAAGAATTCTGAAATCCACTACTTCTGCCTTTTCCCTGGTTCTAAGGACACTCAGTCAAATTTAGTGTTCAAGAAAAGTGGTTCAAGTGTAGTGGTCTGGACAATTCTTATTCTACAGGACCAAAAAACAAATTAAAAAAAAAATATATCCTCCAGGAAGGCCTCTCTATTTCATCTACTTTTGGCAATACATCTTTGCCATGTGATCCTACTTGTAAGGGCATGCCACCCTGAATTATAGGATCTTAACGATATGAATTCTTTTTTCATAGAGACCTCTCGGTGTGGGATAGGAGAGAAAAGGAGAGACTAGACGGTGAAATGAGGCCCTGACACACTGAACTACGTGCATGCCCTTTTCCATAATCTACACAGTAGCTCATTAGCATCCACCCACACCTTAGCATTGCTATCACTATGAGCTGATATAATTTACATCAGCTGTTCTGCCTTGAGAAGAGTTAGGAGGTAAAGACAATAAATAACCAGTGGATTACTGGTAAATTTGGTAAGGATTACATTTCTAAAAGTCAAATTTCAGAGCTTAGAAGCTTATCAGTTTCAATTCTGGATCTAACACTTATCCTAAGGTTCCTTAATCTTTGTTAAATGGATATAAAAATACCTTTCCATCAATATATGAATATTAAATGTATGCTAAGTGCTAACATATAGAACTCAATAGCCCCTTTGGTCTTATTTTTCAGATAAACTTTGGAGTTCCTTTTTATTGGGGGTTCCTCAATCTTGGTACCATTGAGATTTTACACTGGATTATTTGTTTGTTTGTTTACTTTTTGTTCCAGAGATTAAACCCACAGGAACTTAACCTCATTTAGAAACAGGGTCTTGCAAAGTTGCTGAGGCTGGCTTTAAACTTGTGATCATCCTGCCTCAGCCTCCCAAGCCACTGGGATTTACAGGCATGAACCACTACACCTGGCTAGACTGGAGATATATATATATATGTATGTATGTATGTTTGTTTATTTATTTATATGTTATGAGCTACATTATACCCCCTCCCAAATGTATGTCTTGGAAGGCCTAATTCCCAGGACTTCACAATGTTACTGTATTTTAGAACAGGCTTTTAAAAGAGGAAATTAAAGTAAAATGAGGTGATATTATGGGCCTGATCCAATGACTAATGAACTTGTGAGAAGAGATCAGGGCACAGAAACATGTGCACAGAGGAAAGCCCTTGAGAATGTGGTGAGAAACAGCCCTCTGAAAACTAGGGAAAGAGGCCTCAGGCGATGTCCGAGTGCTCTTTGACTTCCAGCCTGGAGAACTGTGCAAAGTAAGTCTGCTGTTTAAGCAGCCTGGCCAAACTAACACATGGGGGTTGACTTGTGCATTATGATGTTCAGCAGCACCCCAACCTCTGTCCATCAATACTAGTATCATCCCTCCTACCCCCACCCTCCAGTTATAACCACAAACGTCTCCACATATTGCTCAGAGATCCCCTGAAGAACAAATTCTTCCTGCTTGCTCCATGAGCACCACTATTTTACTCAATATTTGGTTACCTTTGTATTTCCAGAGCTCAGCACAATGACCGATATATAACAAAGTTGATAATCAAATTTACTGAATGAATTAATGTGTGGAGATCTCCCTCTCTTGGATCTCACTGCTCCATTTACTCCTCTAGCTGCAAATAAAATAGTAATTACCTGCAGTTTAACTTATGAGACTATAATTTTTAGTGAAAGAAGCCATTTTCACTGTAGCATCATTTCTGGCAACTTAGTATACATTATACCAACACTAGCCTCCACTTTGGCTGGATGCTCCTCACCATCACAGCAGATCTGCTGACAAGTTCAGTGAGTGGTGCTGCTTCTTTATTGCTTTAGGCAGATGAAATGACTATGACAAATTCTTTTATAACCATTTGAAACTCAGGAAACTCATAAAGAAAAATGGTGAGTTTCAGTATGAAAATGCTAAACTCTCACCATGAGACTCCAAGTTATCAGAAAGCCCAAAGCATACCAAAAAGCCAGTCACTGGAGATATTCTTTTGAAAGGAGAAATCACAAATGCTTTCCCCGGCATACTCGTAAATTTGTTATTTTAACACTGCTGCATTTGCTCCCATGTTATTTGCAAGTTGATGTGTTTGGTTTGGGCAATGGCAGAGGAAGAGATGGGGGTAGGTTGGCTCTGAAATACCAAAGAGAAGCAAGCAGTAGGAACTAGATACTGGTGTACTTTTCACACTCAGATAACAATTTCTGACCAACAAGTTGTGAACTGTACACAACTATTCATAGGATACAGTTTTAAGGACATTATTCCAAATTAATGTAAGAGTCCATTCATTAACAAAATACATTCATTACATACTTTTCATTAAATGGCTGGGATTCAAAATGTTGGAGATTTGATCAACTCAACTGAAAAAATACTAACAATAATCTTTTTTAAGAGCCATTCAGAAGAATAAGCTCAATGTTTCAAAGTTATTGTGGCTTTGTGACTTTAAATTATAATACTAACTTTGTAACTTTTAAAAAATTATAATACTAACTTTGTGACTTTTAATTATAATCCTATTCTGAGTAATGTGTAAAACACAAGTTTAACAAATAAGTACATTCAACTTAGAAAATAACTATCATGAATTGCTGTCATGGGTGTGCTGATATAACGGCATCGGGTACTTACACACAACAAGAATGTGAATTAGGACAAAATACAGACACTCAAGTGCTTGTTATAGTAAATAGGCAGAAAAGAATCCTTTTGTGAAGTTGGTGTCCATGGAAGAAAAAGAGGATGGTGTAAGGACATTTTGAAATTTAGAAACCAAACAAAATCCTTTTCCCAAATAGTTTACCCACTCTGCAAAGCTGGTGAACATGTGGATAGTGTTTTTAAGGAGAAATGTTTTAGAGGCAGAAGGCAACTGACAAGTGAGGATGCTTAACTTTTTCTGGAAAGGCGGAAGAGACTAGAAATCAGTTAACCATAACATTTAGGAATTAACATCTTCCCTTGGACATTTATAAATATGAAATCCATATATGGCAATAAAAAGTACCACACTCTGATCACTGAATTAAAAAATCAGCAACAGCCCACACTAATTCCTATTACGCTTGTTTCTTGGTTCAATCTCAGCACTTTCATCTGCTCTTGTGCGGCGATTCTGTCTTGGGCTTATTTCTATGTCTTGAAGATCATTTCTGAAATCGGAAAAAAAGAAATGGTATCTTAGAGAATAATAATCATGGTTTTAAGCAATTACAAGTTTTTGAGTGCTTTCATATGCGTTTCATCAACCCCCCCATAACCCTCTACTCTCATCAACAAATCTGTAATTATTATTATTACAATTATCATCATCCCCACTCTATAAGTAAGAAGAAAAGAGTGAATATGCAAGATTACAGAAAGAGAGTCAGGAACTGAACCTTGAACCTCTTTGTTCTGAATCAAAATCTGTGGTTTTATGCTTTTGCTTAACATCTTAACATGTAGAAAACAAACAAAAAAAGTGTACCTCATTCTAACAATGAACAATAAAAAGCTAGAGAGTTTAATCATTCCTGTATAGTAACCAAGAAAACAAAACTCCAAAGAAAAATAAGCCCCTTCAAAAAGAGTTGGGCCCTACAAACTCTCTCTAGGCAAAGTTATGAGAGAGATGGGGGTGGGGTGCAATTATTACGTAACCAGTTAAGAAGTCTGGTAAATTGCCAATAAAATTTTTAATTTTTATTTTTGGTGGTTGAGATGAAACCAGGTCCCATGCATGCTAGGGAAGTGCTCCACCACGAGTTACTTACCTCCCCAGGCACCCTCATGAGTTCTTAAGTACAGGTTAGTACTGAAAGCTCCTGATATAAGGAGTCCACATGCACTAGTAAACTCTTTTCCATAAGCCTCCCCCAGCTACTCATGAGAAAGACTGGGAAAAAGGCAGGAGACTGGAGACAGCCTACTTTGGTGGCTACCGAGACTGGCAGAAAGCCCTGCCTGTGTCCTGGATGCTTTTCTTCTGAAAGGCAAAAGCTTTAAATTACTGAGGGAAGAGCAGGAAACTTGCTGGCCCATGAGGCTTGAGAAAAGATCCATAGCCTCTGGAGGACATGAGGCAAAATAAGCCTATTGAAGGAGGAATGATAGAAAATCATTAGGAACAGAGGCAAAAATCCACTGCTGCTGGAGAAATAGTGGAAACTAAAACCTCCACCTCTGGAAGAGGCACAGAAAATCATGTTGGCCTGCTGATCTCACACAGATACTAAACAGGGCTTTGGTCAATGCAGCCTGACTACTATGGTAGGAGAAAGAAGTTCTGGCAGAGCCCCATGGCTGAGACCCAGGAGAACAGGGCTTACCTAAGACTGAGGCTAGACCAAGCTAATAGAAAACCCCAGCTCTCCCCCACCAAAGGCCCAGGGTGAAGAAATAAGCAGAAGCAGGAAATGGTTGAGGGAGAAGTAAGGACACCAAGAAGAGTTGCCCCTCTGTGGTGCAGGCATGAAGAGGGAGCTAAAAAGAAAATGGTAGCAGTCACTAAGCAAGACTCTCCAAATTCCGCCTCAATGCTAACCACTAAGTCACTCCAGCTGAGGTCAACTCCTAAGTAACTGACTCAACTCCTCACAATAACAACATGACAGAAGTATGCCCATGTCTAGGCATAAACTCTATTTATCCCAGTCTTGAGATTCCTTCACAGCCTGTCCAACATTCAGTGAAAATGTCCAACACAAAAGAAGAAAGGAAAAAACCCCCCTGCCAAAAGATAAGGAAACCAGGGGATACAGACAGAGACAACCACATCTCAGAACCAGGACTTTAAGATAATAATAATTAATATGTTAGAGGATCTACAGGAAAAGCTAGATGACATCCATGAACAGATGGAGAAATTCAGCAGACACGGAAATGATATGAGTCAAATGGAAATGTTAGGAAAAATTCTTTGTATCAGAGATGAAAATCCTTCAAAGTACTCATAAAGATAATATATAAAGCTGATAAAAGACTCAGTAAACTTGTAGATATGTCAATAAAAATCATTCAAATTGAAAAGAACAAAGTCTGTGTGTTGGGAGGGGAACAAAACAGAGCAACTCAGAGTTGTGAGACCATAAGAAATGGTATATAATATGTGTAGTTAGAATCCCCAGAGAAGAAAGAAGAATAGCAAAGAAATATGTGAAGCTATATGGCTGTGCATTTTCTAAAAATAATGAAAGGCATCAAACAAAGACCAAAGGTAGTCAAAGAACCCTAACCAGGATAAATATAAAAAATAAAACAATAACCACAAAAATCATTCAGACACATATTCAAAGTGCTAAAAATCAAAGATAGAAAAAGAAAATCTTGAACACAGGCAGAAAAGAAACATTCCACAGAGGGACAAATGCAGATTTACAGTAGCCTTCATGTTGGAACCATATAAGTCATGAGATGATGCTATAATAGTTTTAAAGTGCCAAAAGAAAAAAAAATTCAACCTAGAATTCCATACAATCCAAAAATACAATTCAGTAATGAAAGGTGCTAAATAAAGAATTCTCAGACATATAAAAGCTAAAAGAATTGTTAACATTTTTGAGCCTAAAGAAATATTAAAGGAAGTTTGTCAAAGTATGATAATCAGATGAAAACTTGAATCTATACAAAGAAATAAGACCATCAGAAAGTATAAAACTAGAGGTAAATATAAAAATACTCATGGGGCTGGGTATGTGGCTTAAGCGGTAGCGCGGCTCGCCTGGTGTGCGCAGGGCACTGGGTTCGATCCTCAGCACCACATAAAAAAAATAAAGATGTTGTGTCCACCGAAAACTAAAAAATAAATATTAAAAAATTCTCTCTCTTTAAAAAAAAAAAAAAGATACTCATGTCTCACTTTTAATTGGTATTTAAAAAAGTGACTTTTTAGATTAAAAGAGTACCCACATACTGCAGGGTAGCATTGTTGGTAAGTTCTTACTACATACTGAAGCATTATTTGAAGGCTCATGGTAATTAAAAAAACAAAAATATATGCTAAAAACCCTACTACTAATTTCTCTCTCTCTCTCTCTGCTGTGGATTGAACCTGGGGCCTCATGTATACAAGAGAGGCACTGAACTACACCCCCAGCCCAAGTACTAAATTTTTAAAAATAAAAGTACAATTAATAAGACAATACTGGACATAAAAATAAAATAATACATAATTTAAAATTGATCCAAAAGATGATGAGAAAAGAGGAAAAAAAGAACAAAGATATTATAGATTTAAAGTCAACCATATCAGTAATTATGTTAAATATAACTAGTTAAAACTGTCCACTTACAAGATGCACTATAAATTGGATTTAAAAAGATACAACTACATCCTATTTAAAAAAAACAACCACCACCTCATATTTAAATACATTGAAACTGGGAAGGGCCTAAGATATACCCTATCTGCAAGTTAAAAGTTAGTCTGCCAGTTTGATAGACACTGCCAGAAGATACAGGACTTCTGTGGAGATGAGGACAATTTATCATTTACATCAAGAAGAGCTGTCAGAGGGTCAGCATTTGTGTGGTTCTGAAGCTCAATTCCAAAGATGACATGAAGAGGGACATACAACACCAGCACAGGCAATAAATAGACTGCACTTCCCCCTGAAGATGGGAAACTTTATTCTATTATAAAGGGCAGTAAATTTGCTTCCTCTTTATTGCAGAAGAAGAAACTGTGTGTCTTCCAAGTCCGCTCACCATGCAAACATCCTGGATAAGATAAGAAGTTCACAAAAGACAGTCAGTTCCTTGCTTTTTTAGGACGTGCAAAAAAAAGCAAGAAACTTTTTTCTTTTTTTGGTACCAGAGATTATACCCAGGGGCTCTTAACAACTGAGCCAAATCCTCAACCCTCGACCCCTTTTTAAACTTATTTCTGAGACAGGGTCTCTCTAAATTGCTTAAGGCCTCACTAAGTTGCTGAGGCTGACTTTGAACTTGAAATTCTTCTGCTTCAGCCTCTTGAGTTGCTGGGATAGGCATGTGCTACTGTGCCTGGCTAAGAAATTCTTAACACACATTTCTCCTGACAATATTTACTCTTTGTTTCTACAACACAGTGGCCCCTGGAGAATTTTTCCCAGGCATACACCACTTCATAAGCCACTATAATTAACAGAAGATAGGATTTAAATCTATTTGTTGCATATAGCATTTCATTAAAGCAAATGGCAGCAGAATGAGGCCAACTTACAATATTAACCTTGAAAATGACTCCAGGGGCCCAGATCCAGCCAGCAGCACAAATTTCATGTACCTTCAGCATCTGCCTTAAAAAATATTGTAGAGTACATCCTGAGCTTTCTATTTGGCCCAAGATGATACTGATCCAGGTATAGCAGGACATACAATAATTTTAGACTACACTGGCCTGTGAGGAAGAAACCTAAGGCAATTCTATCACCCACAAAAATCTTGATCAGTGAGTTGAGAGAGTTCTAAATACTTTCAGAGGCAAGATGGAAATCAATGATCATTTCAGATAAAGGTTGGGACAAATTTTATCCCATCTTTTCTAAGTAGATTATTCCCATTGTAGGGATAACAGCCTCAGGATATGTATAAATACTCCTTTTTTCCTTCCTGAAGTTCTCTCCATGTAAGAAAGGATAGCCTCACTTTGGGAGCTCTCCCTAGTAGTCTGAAGGCTTGATCAGCTTGTGCTGTTTCCTTAAGTACTTGAAGGTCTATTAAGGCCATCCTTATAGTGTTAGTTTCCATATTTTGGGTGAAGAATTAATGCCTGTAATTAATTCTATAATAGAAGTACAGTTCTAGGCACACATAAAACTCCTGAAAAGAAGGTGTTGCTTATAATTGCCTGATGAGGCAGGAAGCTTGGAAAATTTGAGGCTAGCCTGGGTAATTTTGTGAGATCCTGTTTCAAAATTTAAAAATTTTTAAAAGGAGCTTGGGATGTAGCTCAGTGGGGCTTCAGACAGAGTGTGTGAATGCAACCATCTGGGTCACTCAGACTGATGGTCAAGGGATTCAGTGGACTTTCACACCCTTATAATCTCCAGGTATCTAATATTATGGAATACTGAAGTGGAATTGAAAAGATTTATGACACCTCCCTCAGAAATCTTCCTGGTCTACACATCTTAGTAAAGCAGTTTGGTCACTAAATGCTGCTGTCCCCAGAAAGGGATCTTCTATTTTTGGCAAGTTTCTGAGTAATTATCAAGATTAAAAATGCACTGAGATTATATTGACTGTTTCAAAATTCAGCACTCTTTGACTGTTCCTGGACTTGATACATCTTTCTTTTTCCAACAGCAACCCTAGATTGACTAGACTGTTATACCCTCTGGATGGCAATTTGAGAAAGAGTGGCCCACAGGGATCCAAATCTGGTTTAACCATATGAATTCTCTGTTGGGTTCACATAGTCCTAGATCAGGGGTCAGCAAACTAGGGCCCATGGACCAAATTTCATCTACTGTCTGTTTTTGAAGTTTTACTGGAACACAGCCACCAAAGTGGGGTTATCTCTATTCAGTCAGTCCGTAGGTTTCTATTCTGTAGGGTTCCCAGAATCAGACCAAATAATTAGTCAGTCATTAGCAGTAGTCAATGTTAGTAAAATAGGAAAAAAAAAAAAAAAAAAAAGCAAGGTTCCTTCCTCACCTTTTCTTCTTTTTTTAGTGGTACTGGTGATTGAACACAAGTGTACATAGTCTATCACTGAGCTATAACATCAGCCTTTTTATTTTTTATTTTGAGACAGGGTCATGCTAAATTGTGACCTTCCTGCCATAGCATCCTGAGTAGCTGGGATAGGCATGCAGCAGGGTGCCCAGCCAAATTTTACAAAATAAGGTATACAAAATATTAATAAGAATATAAAACTATATTCAACACAGTCATCAAAGAAATACAAATTTAAATCATAATGAGATACTACTAGACACCCACTAGAATGACTAAAATTAAAAAGACTAAGAATACCAAGTGTTGATGAGGACATGGAACATCTGGAACTCCCATTGCTGAAGGGCGTTAATAGCACACCACTTTGGAAACATGCTTGGCAGTAATTAATAAAGCTGAATGTGTGCATACTTTTTGGTCCAGCAATATTACTCCTAGAAATATTCTCAAAAGAAATGAATGCATATGCACTGGAGGGCATTTACAATTATGTTCTTGATGGTCTTATTCATAAAAGCCCCAAACTCCAAACAAACCGTGTACCTATCAATAACAGAACAGATAAATACTGAGATCCATACAATGGAATACCTGTAGGCCAGTGGTTCACAAACACTAGCATGTAAGGCCCTGTGGAAACAAACTGTTGGTTCCCTTCCCCACAGTTTCTCCTTCAGTAGATCTGAGGACCACACTATGACAAGTACTGCTACAGACAGAGCAATGAAAAGTAACAAACTACTGGCACCTGTAACCATGAAAAACTCTCACAGACACAACACTGTACCAAAGAAGGATCACTATATAATTCCATTTATAAAAGTTTAAAACCAGGCAAATTAGTTCATGGTGATATTAGTCAGAATAGTGCTTATCTTTGGGGGATTTTGACTTGAAGGAGATGTGAAGGAGGTTCCTAGAATACTGGTAATGTTCCACATCTAGATTGGTGTCGTGGATACAGTGGAGTCCCCTAATAACTCACCTTCCAACCTAGAATCTGGGGCTTGTCCTGTGACTCAATTTAACCAACAGATTATGGTGGAAATGATGCAGTACTAGTTTTAGGACAAAGTCTTAAGCTGCCTGGTAGCTTTCATATTGGAACTTCTAGGAGTTTCATTAACTATGATACTTTATATATAAAGAATAGTTGTAATATAAATAATTACTAACTATAACAAGTATTAAAGTGACATGGAAATGACAGGGTGGAAGTAAAAGAACTCTACAGAATATGGGAATAGCAAAATAAAAGGAATAGCCCCTCTTGGGCTCAGAGCACAAAAGGAAAGCTCTTCCTGCCTGGACAGGTCCAGACATGGTTGAAGAGTACACAACTGTGTCTAATGAGAACCACTTCTACAGATACAGCGATGGGCCACCAGCGGAGCCAGGTGCTAGAAAAGCTATGAGCACTTTAAAAGTCTAGCGAGGAAACATGCAGGAACTGAGAGGCAAAACCCTTTCTTTTTAACAGTCTCCCGAGGGCCCTCTACTGAGAAAATTTCACATTAGAAGAGCTAACACAGGAAAAACATTTAAAGGTCCTGGTTCAATTTTCACAGAACAGGCAGACATGGAGTGAATTTGAAGTGGAGAGGCAATAGACTAACAAGTAGCACAGGAACCCTGGACCTGCATGTAAGAAATCCAGCTGAGCTGCTGAAAAGAGCACATGGAGAAAGTTTTCTAACAATTCTGAGACAGTGCTTAAGGCAAAACCATTAAATCATTCCATAAAAATAATTTGGTATTGCAGAAAAAATTTCTGAGAAGTAACTAGAGTTATTACAATAGTATTCCATTTCTAAGCAGAAATGTACAGAAACAAGTAATAAACTGGAAATCTTTACCCTATATGTGGATTTACTTTCTTGAATCAGAAAACACATTTATGCTTTTGTTTGAAAATCAGCTGCATAGAATTGTCATTTCTCAAGTCAAAGTACATGCTTATTTCTTGATTATGAGAACTCACTTATGTGATGCTTCCCAGGCTTCCTCTTCTTCCAGAAGATCTCTTATGATGTCTGAACTGGAACTAAAAGGATATACACATCAATATGATGCCAGACATGAGACTGTATGCCTCTGCTTACATAAAATTCTAGAAAATGCAAACTAGACTATCATAACAAAGAACAATCCAGCAGATCAGCGGTGATTACCTGTAGGGGAAAGTGGGTGGGCAAGGGGAAGCTTGGTAGGATATACATGTTCACCTTTTCCATTGTGAAGACGGCATCACAGCTGGACACACATGTGAAAACTCAAGTTATATGGTTTAACTATTTATATTTACTATATATCAATTAAATTTTAATAAAACTATAAGAAAAACAATAAGTTGTGAGTCATGAAAAAAAATCACTAAGATTTAAATAAATCCCTCAACTTGTAAATCTGGATCTAACTGGAATACTGTCACAAGACACTTTAATTTTCTACATCACCCAAAGATCAAACTGTTTTATTTGATTTCTAGCAATTTGAAAAAATGAAAAACAAACTGTGTTTTAAAAACTAAATTCTAGTACTAAAAAATCATAAAAAAATAAGTTTTAGACTCTTTGTAACCAAAGTAAAGTAAAATTTAATTTCAACTGTGCTAATTATGGCATTTTGTTATAAATGCAACCTGGCTTAAAGTGTATCTTTGGCCTACCTATACAGGGATGCACAATAAAGGAGGTTATAGAAGGCATACATTATTTCTTTAAGAGACATAAAATGATTCTTAGGCTTTTTGCCTATTGTTCCTACCCAAATCAATAAAAACTGTTTTTAGAAAGGGCCTGTGGATCCCAACATCGAAGAGTCCTGGGCACTGCACAGGGCAGCTCAAAAGCAGTTGTCACTTACCTCAGAGTAGAGCAGGTTAAAACAAACCCCATTCTCACTCAGGCGAGAAATCACAGTTTTGGAAATGTTAATGTCAATCATTTTTAATGATACTCTAATAAATAACAATAAGTTTAAAATTGGGAAGATTTAAAGTGCCAATGAATTGCTCAACTATTTCTGACAAATTATTTTGAAGAAATGTTTGCCTGTGATGACCCAACAAAGAAGGGCAAAAACAGTCATTAAACAGAGTTCTTTACCAAACGTTATACTCAAGGGATTTCCCCCAAACTTCTATGACTCTCAGAGTGCTGGGCCCACTCTGATGGTGACTACCATGTGTAATGGCCTGTTATTTTGTTTACAGACAATTCTGCTTTGTCAACATTGCACTGCAGTCATTCCTTCACCCCCTTGGAGTGGGAACAACTGAGCTAGCATGTCACAGAACCAAAGCATTGACTCCTTTACACTGCTAAAATGCAAGTGACCCTGACAATAGTTACCAACTTAACTGATCATCAATTTAAGCCTGGAACTGGCATAAAATAAGCTTTCCTATTAAACAATTAGCTAAATGTAGTTTTTATTAGGAGAGAAGGAGAAGAAACAAAAGGCCCTGAAGGATGTTAAGTGGATTTCACCAACTTTTTTATAATCCTAAAAGGCAGACCCTATAGCCACTCATTCTGGAGGGCTTATATCCACTGCCACCCCTGTTGCCACAGAAGTGGCTCTAAACCTTTCCATTCACAAGATCTCAACCTTGATCCTCCTTTTGTCAGAGTTAAGTACACCAATTTCATTAAGAAGCTGAAGTTATTTTAACCTAACCTTTTCATTCACTTCTATTTACTCTAAAGTCATCTATTCTTCTTCACCTAGACAAAGTTTAAGGCAGAGTTGTTTTTTTTTTTTTTTTTTTTACTTTTTCATTATTGTCCTCCAAAACAATCTTTATATATATATTTTTTCTAATCCTGCTCATGAAATCTTAATACTACAAATATAATGTTTATCTTTTTGGGGTATCTGTGTGTACACGTGTATATCTATGTATTATATATCTCAGTAGTAAGATTTTCTTGTCCCAATCCCTCCAAACCAACTCTTATTGCCTTGGGGGTGATACTGCTTCTGAAGAACCCAGGAGCTGAGGGTGATTATGTGACTCTGGATTCTGCAGGTGTCACACAGTCAGAGAAAGAGTAAATTGAGCATCTTGCCAACACTCCCCCAACACACTTTTTTTTTCTTTTAAATAGGAAGGTTCCAAAGCATTCCTACTGTTCCAGCTAAGTAAGCAGGATGGGTAAGTCCATCAACTAACCTGGGAAGAGTCTGTGATCAATTTACATAATAGCTTTCAAATCACCAGCACAAATCACTGATTTGTTAAAGCAAAATATTTGCAGTACATTAATGACATGAACTGAAGAGGTGTTCACTGTTGCCTCAGTGGAAACAGATGGCAGAGGAGGTTTAACAAAAAACACGTCTGAGAGTTGCTTACGATTTCTGCTTCCTCTGTGACTTCAATACTGCTGCCCAGCAAGGCTGACAGCTCCCCAGTGTCCTCAGTTCTCAGTCTTTCCTTCTACTCCAGCCAGGCATTCACCCCAATGTGCACCAAGTCACCAAATGAACTACTACAAAGCTAGGGAGTCTGCAGCTCACCAACAACGAAGTGTCAGGACTGTCTGCTATGTCTCCTGCTCCAAATCAAGTCACCACTGAAACACTAATTGATACTAAGACACCAGGGAAGACTGTTCACTTCTTTTTAAAATCATGTACTTAATTACAGCCTACACAAAAGCTACCCTCCTTAAACTAAACATATGGTTTCACAAACAGGATTCTAAAGAGACAAATGGGCATAATAATCAGTGTTACCAAAATGATCACTCACAAATATCTTTCTGTAGATAGAGGCCATTAATATATTTGAAGTCTTTAATATGCCTTGAAGATCAAAATTTCCCTGAATATACTTCCAGGACACCTAGGGGCTGGGTTTGTGGCCCAGTGGTAGAGCATTTGCCTCGCATGTGTGGGGTACTAGGTTCGATCCTCTGCACCACATAAATAAAATAAAGGTACTGTGTCCATTTACAATAAATTTTTTTTTTTTAAAGACATCCAAAAAAATTCTCCACAGGAGAAAATGACTCACTCTGGTATACCTGGGGTCAGAGAATGCACAAGCCTACACAAGTATAATTTTAAGTTTAGAGCACAGAATTTTTTCAGAGTAAAATTCAGCTTCTCTACTATTTGGTTTCAGAATATACTGGAAGAACTCATGTTAAAAAGTGGATGAACAAGAGGTCTGGCATGTGAAACTTATGCTGTCCCCATGAAAGGGCATTCAAATTGTGCTCTCTGATGTCACCATCAGCCCAGCTACAGTGGACATTATTATATAGATTCCACGTGACCAAGTCTCACTGGCAAAAAATAAAATTTCTAATTCCCAGCCTATTCAAGAAGATACTAGTAGGCTCAGTTATAACACCCACATTTACTTTTTCATACTATGTGTACTTTATTTTTAGTTCAAAGTTTCAGAAACATAAGCTTACTCTGAATGAGTATGTGAGTATGTGAACACATCTTGGATTGGCTGATCTTTCAAATATTTGAAATATTTTACTATTATTATTCTCTGGTGAAAAGCAGCAAAATTTCTTCTCAGAAAAAGGAAAACAATACCTTTGCACATTTCCTTTTGAAGCAATCAGTTTTATCCTACCAGTAAAAATTTTACCACCAACAATGAAAAGATGCCACATATCTCTGTCAAAACTATGATTCTGGGCATGTTATGTGACCTTTTCAAGACTCAATATCTTCATCTGTAAAATCAGGTTATAAAACATGTGCTTTATAGGGATATTTTAAAGATGAATCAATATAACACAGAGTTTAGTACATAGTAAGTGTTTAGTAAATGTTGGTTCCATTTTCATAAAACAGATTTGACTCTGAATTACCTAAACAATTGCCATAGCACTATGTTTTGATTTGTACTAGAAAACGCAATCACTTATGTGCACCATTTTAATCTTTGATTTCCACTGTTTCCATGACACCAGGGCGCAAATTCATCAGAACTTGTTATTTATCCAGTATGTCAGGTACACAGGGTACTGTGGGGGTAGGAAAAATGCAGACATCTGCTATAAAAATCCTGTGGATTAAAGATTACTTATGAGTGGAATTTTTCTTTATTATTATTATTGTATATCTATTTATTTATTATCTATGAATTTTCCCCTTCCCCAATTCTCTCCTCTTAATTGTGGCATTAGTTGGAATATGGTTGAATATGGAAAAAAAAATTTAACTCCTTAAGAACAGATCACCGGAGGATTGATGAAGAGTGTATAATATCAGTGACACTTATATAATTGCTACCATACTATTATGAATCCTTCCCCAAACCTGTTTTTAGGAATCTGTTCTGTAGGATGAGAAATAGCTTGTATGACAAATATTTTAGCAGCTGAATGACAGTAGAAAAGTAAACATCTTAGGTTAAAAAAAAAACTCAATGACAAAGATGACCATTCTCTGAGCAACTACCTCTACCAACCTCTGTGATAATTACTGTATGTACATTAGCTTTAATTCATAGAAGCATATTAGGTTTATTCCCATTTCACAGACGGACAAAGGCTCAGAGAAAGTGAAGTAGAAAAACAGGGATGGGGATGTAAAACTCATCTTCCTTCTGCCCCACCATGCTGCTTCAACAAGTTATAGCAAAAAAAAATTCAAAAACCATTAATCTGAGAGTTAAGAATTCCACCCCTATATGTTTTATCATAAGGCTTTTACCAGATGTCAACAAGGTTCATGGATAAAGCAAGACTAAGAGGGGTTATACTGCTCTCCCTAACATCTAGTAAAAATGACAAAATGAAGAAAGCTTCAGATAAAAGGTAATAAAAAGGAACTTATTTTTCAAGTAATACATAAAAAAAATCCTTAATAAGAGATGAGACAAAGCAATAATAATTAAGTTTATGTTCAGTTTAAAAAGCAATCACAGAGGCTGGGGTTGTAGCTCAGTGGTACAGCACTTGCCTAGCATGTGTGAGGCCCTGGGTTCGATCCTCAGCACTATATAAAGATAAATAAATAAAATAAAGGTATTGTATCCATCTACAACTACAAAAAATATTTAAAAAA